ATGGCGCCGTCCGGCGCCATACGAGCTCCCAACTCGCCTCCCCACCCCCGTTCCCCGCGGCCATGCCCGGCGCCTCAGCGGGAGCTCCTTCGGTCCGCCATGACGACGGGGGGCGCTCTGAGCCTTTGGGCGGGCTCTTCTCCTTCCGGGCCGCCCTCTATGGTCGGCGGGTTGGGGCGGAGACAAGATGGCGGCGGCCTGCGTGTGGTGGCGGCGGCTCTGTCAGGTGGGGTGTGTGGCGGGGGAGGGGGGGATGAGCGGGCTCCCTTCTCCTCTTCCTCTCCCTTTCCTTCGGCGTCTTCACTCCCGAAGGGAGAGGGAAAAGGAGTTTGGGGCTCCAGCGGGTTGGGGGAGGTCGCAAGTGTCTTCCTTTTTAGCGGGTCCTCAAAGGTGTTTCATGTAGTCCTGGTTTTGCGGCGGTTACTCTGGTTGTAAAGGATGATGAAGAGTAGATGGCTTGAGTTTGGAGGTCATGTGCTAAGCCTGCTCCTAGTCTTGGATTTGCAAATCTTGAAGTTATAACATAAAATAAAAAAATAGGTAAACACTACCGATGTTTTCTGCTGGTTTTAACTTCTAACGAATGATTGCTTTTTCTCAGGTTGAGAAATTTTGATGACAGGGGGTTTCTTACTCATTTTCTGAAGCTCTAAACTCCCATCTTTGCTGTATGTACCATGTTCTGGACTTGCTTACCTCTCAGGCATCTCCTGCATCCTTTAAGATGTCTTCACCAAACAAAATTAAGGCTATTTTGCAGTTGGAGAGAGGTGATTCCGTTTTGTGCAAGGCTCATACAGGAAGCAGACCTCTGTTATGTTGCAGTGTGAATGTCTTTTCCACCTTCTATGATGGCCATTATCAAGAGCACATAAAGTATATTTCGGTCAGAGAATGAAGCAAGCTGTTAAAATATGCTTTACTGCCTGCTGAATGCCATCTTTGCTACTTGGGATACTCAACGTATCATTTTGTAAAAAATTTGCACAGAACACCTTTAATTTTATTTTACAAAAACTTTTGGCTCAGTGCATATCTGCATAATGAGTAACAGGAGAAGACGGCGTGTGGTGGAAAAAATATACACAAACATAAAATATTGTAAAGGCTGCAGAACTTAGTTTGTGAGATAAAACTCTACTGTTTCATCATGTTTGTGTGGTTTTTTTAATTCATCTTTATTGCATAAGACTGAAATTTTTCTATCCCAAAACCACGTAACACAATATGCAATGAGAGTGCGTATTTTTGCATGCAAATATGCATGCAAATAATAAATTCATATCACAAGATCAAACATTTAGGAGTAAAAGAATACATAGCAGAGACTGTGTGCATGCGAAGAAACCCAAAACTGTATACAACTTTTACAGTTCCAGTCAGTCGTCTTATATTTGTCACCTGGGGTCAGGCTCTGTGCCGCATACCTGCACACACAGGTTAAGCCCTGCACTGAATACAATCTTTTATGCTCATGGGCCTGTCTGCTCTCTGAAGTGATGTCAGGTAATGATGCTAGTGTACTTTATGTTGGCATTGAATGAAAGGGAGGCAGTATTCCAACTTCAGAGAGAGAGAATTGAGGTGCAAAGATCAAGATAATTTCATTAGATGTATTTCTTTAACTTTAGGTATTAAGGCTCAGATTGTTCCCAGCATGAACTTTGAAACACTCTGAATGGTCATCAACAATGGTGGCAAATATTCAGTGCTCCTAAAGCTCCTTATTGTGTCGTGCGCTTAAGAATGTAACACCAGTGCTCATCTGTGAACATCTGGATTTGAAAGGCTTGCCCAAAGGGAAGCATTCAACTGGGCTCTCCAAACACTAGTCGACTTTGTAAACTGGAAACTCTTCTGTCTCTTCCTGCAGTCGCCTTCCTTGCTGAATGCAGAGTTACTTTAGAAAACAGCTTCATTTCTTGCCGATCTATAATATATAATGCATACTGGAGAAGGTTAGGGACCAAATAGCATCATATAGTTAGCTATACATATCTATGAGCAACGGTGTTAAGCTTACCTGGAAAAGTATCAATTCTGGCTGTTTTCAGATGTTTGATTATAGGAGTCACCTACATAACTAATGTGTGGGTTATGTCTTTTCTCTTAAAATCTGTGACTCCAGCATCTGTTAAACAAGAGTGTCAAGGGGCTGGAGGAGTAGCTAATTTTGCTTCAGCATTCTGCTGCAGTGCAGCCTTGAGTTTCTCTTAAGTAAGTGAGAGTTCTGGTTCCTTTTTTTTTTTTTTTCCTCTCAAGTAGTCTATAATTTTGCCAAATTGAGAATTAGTGGAAGGAAGCTAGAAGCCACGTAATGTTCAGAAGGGAGCAACTTTTCTAGCGTGAAAGACAGTAATGTTACATCTTGATTAACTGTTGTGTTCCTTCTTCAACACAGAAAAAAAAAATCATGTCCTCTTTTCAGTGTGGTTCGTTTACTTGTTAGATGTATTTCTATTTAAATATGATCTTCAAAAGAACAAGTGCGCAAAATCACAGAGAATTTTTTTCTGAAAAAATGGGAAATTTCAAGTTAAATTCAGAGGTTGAATTTTTGCCTTTACAGGGTACTGTTTTCAACTGCTTTTAGAACAGCAAGTCCTACTTCGGCTTGTCTCTTGAAAAAAGTAATAGATATTATATTATGAAAGTAAAAGTGAAGATAAAATATTACCACATACAGAAATGGTATCTGATGCCACACAAAATAACTTTTTCTGCTTAAAAAATGTTTTGTGATTGGTATTCAGGTGCCTGGTTAATAATAGGTGCATGCTGCTACATTGTTCCCTTAATGTGTTCCTTTTTTTAGGTGCTATTTCATATTAAAATATATTTTCATGCTCATGTTTTCCTATGCAAACTTTCTAATTTGGCAAAGCAGTACTTAGGAATGTGCAAAAAAGTAACCTTTAATAAGCCGGTAGCAAATGACTACTTTCTGATTTGGGGGGGTAGAAAGCAACAACCCGTAACCTATTTATTTTATACAGGGATCAGCTTTTCCTGTCAATTATGCAAGCAGAATTATGCAAAAGCAGTATTTTCTTCCGTAAGTATAAAAGGCCCTCCTTCTTTCCACTTTTCTACGCTCACTAAAAAAATCTAACTTTAACAACCTGTTTTATGCTTTCCCCATTACCACATTTCTAGAAACTCCGACTTGATGAGAGTAAGGCTGGCTGGATCCCATGCTGATACACAGGCACCTAAGACTAATCCTTTGGTAAGTGTTTCACAGAATGATATTTTGTATATCTTCTTAGTAACAAAGAGGGTGTACAAAAAAACTTGAATTCCTTTATTGCAGCATTTTAAAGTTTTGTCTTAATGATGTCAAATTTGCCATAGAGAAAGAAACAATTTAGATGATTGGTATTTGAACTATTTTTTTAATTTTTTTTTTTCCCAGCAAGATTTCTGTACCTCACAGTTGCCTCTTCGTCACTTTCCTCCTCTGTGCAGCTGTAACTCCATGAAATACCAGCCTTTTGCCATGTTCAGTTCAGCCTTTACAGCAGCTCAGCCGGCCTAAGGCCTTTGTCTCTGCCTTGGAAACTGGGAATCCAGGGCTGGTGAGGTGGGAAGTTCGTGAAGGCACATGGTGGATATCTTGTGTTTAGAGTCTGAATGCCTTGATTTTGACTCAGGCCTCAGAAACATGTGCTCAATCTGTATAATAAATGCAAGCAAGCCAAAAATCTTCTATTAATATGTGCTGGATTTATTGTGCTAAAGTGCCTGGGAGTAAACCTGTAGGAAAATGAGTGTTTCCTGGACACGTCAAGGCTTTTCAGAGGATCAGTGAGGCCAGGCCATCAGAAATTGAAGCTCTAACTGAAAGTCATGAATTTGTAGCTGAAGGTCATAAACTTATACCTGTACAAACGTAAAGGATAATATGCCTGGGGAAGCCCACTGTGTTTAAAGTAGCCTTATAACTGACTTAGTAAAGTGAGAATTCTGGTTACTGTCCATAATGTTTTAGTTACTGTCCATACCCAAACGAAGTTTGAGAATTTCAGGTGTTGTCATACTGTGATTTAAAATACAAATACTGCTACTCCAGACTTGCTTTAACATGAGTCTCATTCTCACTTTTTCATTCTAGCATTAACTATGCAGTGCTTGCATTAGTTAAGGAGAGCATGGAATGGTAACACTTGTTCTTTCTTTAAAAACGCAGGTATCTATTTCAGATGAGCCCGAAACACTGTACAAGAGATTGTCCCTTTTAGTTAAAGGCCATGACAAAGCTGTGCTGGACAGCTATGAATATTTCGCAGTGCTTGCAGCTAAAGAACTTGGCATCTCTGTTGAAAAAGTGTAAGTAACTGATCTGTAAAGTGATGTGGTGTCAGATACTTCTTATGTCGTCTACTGTAATTCAGGCTCTGTGCTTAGAAGTATTTTCTCTTTTTCAGAAGAAAGAGGTGTAATCTGACGCTTTTTCTCAGATTATAAATCTAACATTTCATAGATGGCAGCACAGTGAGGAGAAAGCAGCAGCATTTCTACACTCAGCACTGCCGTAGTAGAATTGCATTTCAACTACATGATGTTTATTGACTTTAAGTACAGGTGTCAGTGCTGTAGCTTCTCTGAACTAATGCCAGTTAATACCTGAGTATTAACCACGCCCGTGTAGGGTAATAATAAACTCTACCAGTGTTTAATACTTCCTTGTAGGTCTTCTAAATGTCAAATAAGAGCAGGGATTTCAGCATAGTCTTTCAGGTAATCTGCATTAGTATCCTTCATGTAAAATGAAATTTTCTTTTTGTGCTTTCTTCAGACATAAACCTCCAAAGAAGATAGAACGATTGACACTTCTAAAATCTGTACACATCTACAAGAAGCACAGAGTCCAGTATGAAATGAGAACGCATTACATGTGTATAGAAGTAAGAAAAATATATCTTTTTCTTTTAGAAAAAAGTATGTTCTGGGTGCACGATTCGAAGATGTTAATAGATGTTAGTTCAACACTAACTTCGCATTTACCTGGGTTGGGGAGGAAAGTGCAGGTAGTAGCAGAAAAAAACTTACCCAGGTACATCAAACAAGTTATTCTGAATGTACAGCCTATGTAATTTTTGGATTAAAAGGCTGATTTTGACCATCATCTTAACAGCTGAAAGAATGATTATAAAATAAGGTAGAATTGTGGGTTATCTTTATATGGTTTATGCTGTTAGTTTCTGAGAATCAGTGGGATAGGAGCTTTCTCAGGAAGGGAAGAAGATGCAGCTAAACCATTATCGTTACCAGTCACCAAGGGTTCTGTTCTTCGTGAGTCTGTCTGATGTTTTTGAACACGCATACTTTTGTGCTGTGCAACAACATGTGGCAAACTAAAACTGCGTGGGGGAAATACAAGAAAGGAAGCAAATACAAACCACTAGCTCTGTGGCTGATGACACAGACTTCTGTATGGTTTAGAATGCAGCTGTGGTTGACTTTCTTAGAAGAAAGGTTTACTGCCAGCATTTTGTGGCTCTTGGGTCCTTACTGTATATTTGCACAGTGCTTAGCAAAATGGGACTTTGCTTTAACTCCCCAGACACTAGTGCAGTACAAATAGCTGCCCACAGACCATAAGCGCTATTTTTGCCGTCCAGGAGAACCTAGAAAATCAAGAATTCAATGGAATTCTGGAGGTGCAGGATTTATAACAAGCTTGAACTTTGAGACTACAGGTTTTGCAAGAATTAGCAGTTTTTATATAATTTAATTTCATCTGATGCCTGCAGTGTTACGATTCACTGCTTCCATCATAATCAACGCACGTGACCACAGGCAGTATGTACAATTCTGTGGAGTGAAATAACTGCTCTACACTTAAGTGAGAGTTGTGTACAGCTCAGCTGTCTCTGGTCACTATTATGGAAGCTACTAAAATGCTTGTTCCCATGGCAAGAACTAGAGAAGCTAGGGCAAACTACTTTTTTTTATTAGTAGTATTATTATTAGTCTGTTCACAGAAATAACAGTAGTAGTTCATTAAAAAAGCATTACTTCTGTTTCAGTTAAAACATCTAACAAGCAGTACTGCTGCAGTTTACTTGGAGTATGTTCAGCGAAACTTACCCGAAGGGGTTGCCATGGAAGTAAAAAAGGTAAGTTTCCTTCTCACTCCATTAACTGTTATGAGACCCAGTGCTGATGCAAGTACCAATAACCACTGAAGTCTAGAAAGTCAGCAGAGGAAGCGCGTGGAGTTTGAAGGAACGTTTTTCCAAAGTATGAAATGGTAAAGAGGCTGTATTGCTTAAAAACGCCACTAGGTGGCATTTTTAATCTGATTAATATCTTAAAGCAGACTAAATAAGGCAAAGCAGTTAGATGTTAACTAGTTGGTATAATAAAGAGTTGTTTTGCTTTCCTTTTAGACTAAGATAGAGAGAATACCTGAACACATTCAGAAACCAGTTTGGGATACGCTGCCTCAGGTAGAAGAAACTGAAGTTAAGTCATGAACCCACCAGGTACTTGGCTGCGTTAGCAATGAAATTACTTGCTCCTGTCAACCTAACTCACTGAGTCTGCTCTTAAATAAAAGTTCTCTTATAAAATAATTATATAAACTCTTGTTTCATTGGGTTATTCTTGATCATGACTCCAGTATATGCATATTGAACAACTATAAAGGGAAGAAGTTTGACTGTACTCTGTGATCAAGAACTATGGTCATCTGTAATACAATTGTAGAAAGGTAACTTTTGCTTTTATATATATAATAAGTGTATATATAAATATATTTTTTAAATCTCAATTTCTTCTTTATACTGAATGGCTTCTGAATTCTGAAAGACTTGCAAAATCCACTTCAAATTTGTGTAACGTTTCATGTTATGGATGCCAGATTGTTAAACACTTTTTGCTATTGTTTCTTTGAAGTAACAGAATCCTACGTGTACCTGCTGCTTTATCTATTGCCTTGTAGTAAGTCAAAAACTACAATCTTAGGGCACTGAGGTATATTGAGGCTTTTCTAGGCTCCTGCAGTTCCAATAGCCTCCTTTCCAGGTTTAGCAATGCTTGCTAACAGGAGAACATAGCAATCACAGTACAAACCTGATAACTCCACAGTCTTATGTCCCTAACTTAATGAAGTTCTTTTAGAACCGTGTTGCAAAGCAAACGGATACCAGAAAGTGTCAGTGTGGATGGGACAAACAGTGCATTAAGTGTTTTAGTTCACTACAGGGGAAGGTATAGCCTTTTTCTGAACTGGCTGGGTTGGTTATTGTGTAAACCCAGTCTGGCTGGATACTGCTTAAGCTTAGAGGGGAAAAAGAGTGCTCAACTGCTTTGCAGATTGGTTCACTGTGAATCAAAGGAGATGATACTGGGTGCAAAGCCATCATCGGCTTTACCTTCAGATTGCATTAAGCACTTCTGCCTTTACCAGGTTAACAGGAAGGACACAGTCACTGAGTAAGACGACCAGAGAGGCTGGATCATACTTGTCAAGAGCACTCAAAGGTTTTTACAATTACAGAAGAAAAGAATCCCAGTGTTATTATCAGATAAAAGTGAACAATCTTAATGAGAGCTAGTTTAAAGACAAGAAACTAAGCTTGTGCTTGAAGATTATCTGCATTTTCTAGCTGTACAGAGGCACAGAGCTGTTTTAGGAGGGACATTTGAAAACAGTCAATGTAGCTGGTACCACTCATGGTAGAAAGTAATCTCTGTGCACCTTCTACAATATGCCTAAAAAAAAAAAAAAAGGGAAAAGGGAAGTTAATCAAAGCCTTTATGGGAAGATACACTGCCAAGCTCTCCCTTCAAGGTGTTTGGTTTCCTCAGTTTCAAGCTATTCTTCCTTTCTCTTGTTCCTAGTGTTCCGTCATAACAGCATTTCTTAAAGTCATGTCAGATACTAGATAATGTGAAGGAAGAAACTGTGAGCTGACCTCGTTAAATAAAGCTGGTGCTTCAGAGGAACAGCCTCTTTCAAGTCTGTGTTATATTTTCTTCAAATTTGCCATGCTTCCATGCTTTAGTTTTGCATAAGCCACCTGCCAAGTTCAAGCTATATATAGTATTGAAATGTGACTGTACTCAATACTAAGTCTTTCCACATCTCTGTTTGAGGCATGGTAAAATTAAAGGGTTGTCTTTTATTGTCTCTGGTGTTCTACTTTCATCCTGCAGTTTTTGGCTAACTGGCCAGTCAGCATGGCTTCTCAGTTGGCTCAGGGTTTTAGTTACCAGACCTAAATAGGAAGGAATTAGGAGACAGATGCAGAAAGTACTAACCCAGGTAAGCAACCCCCTGGCAGAAGGAGTAGTTGATCTTGGGACAGGTATATTATTAGATAATTTCTTGCTTCCAGCCTCATTGCGTGCTGGGGAGGGCCAGTGTATGTTTAAAGGGATCTCTGACCATAATTGTGTTGACAGAGCCATAGCTAACTGCCATCACAGGTTATGTCCCTCCCAAGAAAGCATGACTGTCACAGACCGATGTTTGCTGGTGCTGCCATCTCACTAACCTCAGTAGGCCACACTTCTCTTCCTTACTTTTCCCTGTATGAAACTTCCTCCCTTTTAAGATTGTGATCCTTCCCAGTTTCTTCTGTCTTCCCCTTCACACTTAGGGGTTTCCAAAGGCATAACAACGTGTTTGTATCTCTAGTTATGCCTTTGCATGACACTGTAACAATACAATAGACTCTGATCAGATCATCTTTTTCCATCTACTAATGTGGCTTCTGACTTTCACAGCATGTTCCTGATGCTCGCTTACAAAACCTCAGATAAACTATTTTGTTGTATAAACTATTTCCATTCTTTACTTCTTTTCCCATTCTTTCTCTTTGTGCTTCTCCAGTTTTGACTTCTGCCACCTTTCTTAGCAAGTGCCAACACAACACTCCAATCATTGCTTTCAGTCCTCTCTCAAGTCATCTTTCTACCTACTGACCATCTTGTCTAATTTTCAATCTGAAAATTTTTAGTTTAATTTTAGAGGAAGTTAATAAAAATGTTATGCTTAATACCATTTATAAACATCAGTATTTAAACATGCTGTATTGTGATGTTACGAGTCAGACATTCAGAGCCTTGAATGATATCTACACAGACTTGTAATCTGTCTGAAGTGCCGCCTTTTGCATTCATATAGCAAAATTACCAGAACGACCCCAATTTCATGACCTGAAATAAAAGCAGTATGCGCCACACAGGATGTTCACAGCAAAGCATTCTGATTCTTTAATGCAGTCTGAGTTTATTTTCAGCATTTCATCAAAGTGCTCTAGAGCATTTATTGCCATTTTTCAGACACGCCAGGGGTCATCAATCCTGCCTGGAGTGTTACTTCAATTTTGGTTTCTACAGTTAGTCTTAACCACCATCACCACTTCATTGTCGCATTAGCTTTAATGTGACTGTACAGCAGCCTTCTTGCTTTAGAAGCCTTTCCTGCCAGTCTCTGCACTTCATGTGCCAGGAAATTAATTACTATTTACCTGTTATTCTAGGGAGCGCTGGAAATAAAGTCATTCACCCAGGAACTTGTGACATGAGAAGGTTTTGCTGTTTGTGTAGTATGAAGCTGTAGTTAAAACTGCTTCAAGTCTGCTGTTGTCTTAGATCAAACTGCACTAGAACAGGCAGAGTATTTGTCCCTTCAAATTACAAGTTTGGGAATAGAACCTCACGCGCTGATCATGGCTTTTCCCAGCAAGTGCCATTAGGAAATGCCACCCCTCCTTTAGTTTCCATGCTTTTGCAGCCACAAAAAGAACACAATTGGCTTTTAAAAATAGCTTTCTTGTCATAAAAGTTGGGGAGATTTCTTGCTCCTATTTAAAAAAAGTCATCTTCAGGTTTCCCTTTGACAAGTTTGCTGTGGTTTTCTCAAGTTCAGGGTGGGTTTTTTCCCACAAAAATCAGTATTTACCCTTGTCCATTTGTGTGTTGAAAAGTGGATGTTACATTTGTGACCATCATTGATAAGACCACCGTGATAAATCACTAAGGGCCTCAGGGGCTCTGGGTGTACAGCAGCTTGCAGTGCACCAGGGCCCGTGCATACTCTGTGCCTCCACTGACCCACTTCCTTCATGATCTAGGGTAAGAGAGGAATTTCATTACCAGTAGGAACATTTTTAAAAACCCCGACTTTTAATATAAGCAATGTACTTGTTCAGTAAGAGGACAGCATGGAATTTGGGGTTTTGCTCACTCTACAAAAAGAAGCTGCTGTTCAGCCCAAAATTCCTAGTTCCCTTAACAAAAAGTACCTTTGTTTGGAAATGCAATCTATTGAATTATGAGAAATGTGATTATTAAAAAGTACACATTTTCTTTCTAGTTGGATAAGATGCCACTTGATAGTATCAGAAAGCAGGCAATCAGTGTTTCACATCTGCTGATGCGAGGTCTTCCGTACATCAGCACGTTATCATCGCTCATCTTTCATTCCATCCTCCCATGTAAATGTTAACTCTTCTTTGTTTCACTGTTAGAATGTGTTTCCAGTTCAAAATAATAGCTTGGGGTTTTTTTTTAATGTTAGTTACAGAAAACATTCAGAAGGCCTTTTCCCTAAGCCGTTAAAGTACAAACGTTTTGCCTTTTGTTCAGAGGAAGTTAAAATAACTACATTATGAAGACACAGTGACATCATAACCAAGTAACACAAATGAGATCTAAGCGTATACAGCAACTTCACACACCTGGAGTTGATTAGAGGCGCTTTAGCCTGTGGTGGTCGTGCTGCTAAGAAACTGAAGGTTTAGTCTGCTGCCAAAAATCAAAGGCAGTGATGAAACTTTCCAACCAAAACAATTATTCTGCATTATCCAAAAGGGAAGATAAAAAGTAAAACCAATGCTCTATGCATAGATTACTTCAGTAACTAGTTGGCAGAAAAATGAATTCTAGTATTTTAAACAGGATCAGTTTTCATCTGACTAGTTCTTCCTTAATGTTGGCGCTCACTCAAAAGAAGGTCATAATGCAGATTTCTTTCCTCTTTTCTCTAGCATCACAGTCAAATCTATACCTCTGCTTGGCTTTTAAACATTGAATAACATGTCTCAGTGCAGGGTATCAAGGATTGGAAAATACGTACTGCAGAGCTAGTTTGAAACAGTGAAAAGAATGTATGGATTTTTTTGGATGTCCATGGAAGGTTGAGGTCTGTGTCTTCATCCCGGTCTTTGATGTTCAGTTCTCCATTGCTGGCATATAAACTGGAATGCACGTTTGCTAAGTTGTCAGCTGAGCTACCTACTGAATTAGACCTGCTTCTACATAAATGTTTGTGAGCTTGGGGTTTCTTAAGCTGATGTTGCTGTAGACAACGCATGGATTCAGGCAGCTTGTGTAGTTAGTGTACTTTGGATCTTTCTGAAATGCTTCCCCCCCCCCCCCCCCCCCCCAAAAAAAACCCAGACACTAAAATTTTAAGATATGCTCTCTTATTTTCCATATTCCCTGTTTTTTCAGTGTGTAAGCTCGGTAGTGTTTTTCACATTAACAGCATATTACAGTAACCACAGTGTAAGGAATTAACAGTGTCAATAAACATGTCAGCCATTTTCTTGTCAAAAGAAATGCAGCTTAATTTCCAACACCATCGCTGGAAATACAGCTCTCACCGGCACAAACAAAAGCAGTGGCAAAGAAGTTTCTAAACATAAGTTTCCCTCAGCAAAATAATATTAGGTTAAATATGGCTATTTGAGAACAGAAATAGGAAAGCACCCCAGCAGTTCTTAGCTAAATTAGTTTTGCATAAGAATAAGCAAACAAGTAACTTGCACACGTAAGTAAAAAGTATTTGCCTGAATAGCTTTTGTTCCTCATTAATGCTAGAGAAAGAGGAATAAAGAAGTTTTAAAAATCTGTTGCTTTAAACGTGGCCGTGCTCTGCTCTTTCAATAGGTCAGCATGCCACCTCCAGCTGGCTTCAGAGGGGCACTGTGTTGCCCTTTAGAAGACAATAGCATCTTTCTTTCACCAAAAAGTCATGCCACGTCCTGAACGTCCTGCAGCTGCAGCGGCTGCTGAAATGGCCAGCTCCAAAGGCGCTCGGGTTCTCCTGCAGGGAACTTGCAGTTTTCTTAAGTAGCCTGTGAGTAAGTAGAAAGTTTGGAGTTTTTTTGTAATAAAATTTTCATTTTATTTTTTTAAGTCAGTGTTTGGCAGCTGCTGTATTTGGTCATAGCTCTGCTTTTTTTGTTTTCATTGGTATTTATTTTCTTGTTATTCTCTATACAAGTAGCACATGAAGGCAAATTCAAGGTACTTGCCTTTGCGTAGGGGCCAGCTGCTACCAGGAAAGGAGCAATGTATAGGAAGAGGCAACAGAGAAGATTAAGCAAGGATAGGCTGAGATGAAGGAAGAAATGAACCTCCTCTCTTGCCTTTCACTTTGCTTCAAGCCAGCACAGTGAGGCATCTTTTTATTCTATGCCACAAAATAGCATATAGTAAAGAAATCAGCATTGAACTTTATATGCTACAGTCCGTGGTATGAATTCCACTCCCAAAGTAACTTGTGGCAAAATTATTTCAAGTTTAGCTCTCCGTTTGTGCATTTGGGTGGGAAAAGAGTGTGATCAATACATTTATTCCAATTAAAAACATCTGCTAAAACGAAAAAATGGCATCTGACAAGGGAAAAGGCAAAAGTAGAAGTAGAAATGCAGGGATTTGCAGAGAAGCATAAAAGTGAGTGCTGCACTGATAAATGAGACAGAAGAATGAAGGCAGTAAGCTAACGATGAGGAATCCGTTATGTTTAAATTAGCAGAGTTCTCTAAAATA